GGCTGTGCCAAAGATGGTATCGCGTCGCGGAATCGCGTTTTTAAAAACGACTTACAAGCGATTTGATACTTTATTCTAATATAAATACAATGTTTCGACTAACAACGATATGTTAGCAAACCTAACCTAAGTGAGTTCAATTTAAGAGTAATAGGATTAAACTGATGCCTGAAGGGCACAACCATCAATATATAACATAGGGTTGTTTACTAAGATAAGATATAATTACACCGATTAGGAAGATATACGAGGGGCTCTCGCTATATAACTTATAATCACTCTCGCAGGATGCCCGGTGACAGCGCCACCTAACAGATGTCGGACACAAATATTTGTACTTGAACTAAGCGGATAAATATGAAAATAGCGAACATTTAGTCGATTTGTGGTTAGGATCAATTTGAATTCCAAACTTATCTTTTGATCTGACAAATGTTGACATTTACATCATTGACAGACCTCAGCTGACCCCACATGACACTGATTTTATATACTTAAAACAATTGTAATATTCCCCTGAAGATGCTTACATAGTGTCGGGTATTAAAAAACCGGTTTGAATAGTGGTGAAACTCTGTCGGAGTGACCTTTACTTTAATCCATGATATCCAATAGTTTAGGTCGTCATAACATCTCTATTTCACACTTCATGTCTTTAATCGAATTCGTTGCTTTACCGGTTTGGATACGCCACTGTCCTCATTGTGCCCTATACACATCTTGCATGCTTCGTAGGTACTAACTAGCATGGTACACCAGGTAAAAAGTCCAAAATCAAAGTTCTAGGGTTCCAGTGTCTAATCAGGGTTAAGTGTTAGGTACCTGCTAAATAATTTGAATTTTAAATATTCACACTTTATGGGGACAATAACCACCTGTTTGTGAAATGGTCTTTGTATGTACGGAAATCTGATTACTAGGGACAACTGAAAGGATAGATTACCATCAAATAGGCATTATTTATGGGTTTAGGTCAAGGCCAATATACAGAAAATAAGAGATGGATTAGAGAGGGAAATTGAAATACTCCGATAACAAACAAAAACGGCATCAAGTAACAGAGCCTAAATTTTGATCTTGCTTTAACCTTTAAGATATGGGCTCTGATGGTCGCAAATGTGTATGCAAGAGCGTGCCCAGCGGCAGACACCTGTCCTACCTTGCCCCAAATCAGCAAAAATTACATGGAGATATTTTCTACAAAACTTAAATTATTCATGTATGGGGTTCTGCGCAAGCTGAATCGATATCTATTGGGTCAAAAATTACTAGGATATAAGTTGAAATCTGTTGGATATAAACTTAATTTTGCCAAAAGCACTGTACCTACATGTTACACGAATGTCACTCGACCAGCATTTACTCTGGTCCGTACCATCAGTGGATTTCTGTGTAACATTACGCATCGATAATTACTAATATCCAGGGTACACGGTCAATAACTATCACATCTCATGATAAATATTCGTCGCGGAGTACTTTACGAGGGCGTAGATGAATAAAAAAATGAAATTTGGACGGTTATTAAATTCAAAGTATTTCCGAATGTACTCTAAGTCGTTTTTATTTTTTCCTGGCTTTAGCCCAAAACAAAACTTCTGAAACATCCACATTGGCTACAAATTTCAAACAAATTACCCAATAATATAAACACAAGGTGGCATAATTAGAATTTCGATCTGACGTTTAAGCTCTCAGTTTTTTAAAATCATGCCGTGTTCGATGTCCCAATGATTACCCTTGAATAATATAAGTGGGTTACATTGTGTTGTTCCTCATTCGATGAGTCTAAGCCAGCTATGAAGTTAGACACTTGACATTCTATATCAAAGCGTAACATGTTATCTCCTTTGATATATACAGGGTGTCCCAGAAGTCGACGTCAAGCCGAAAATGGCAAAGTCATAACAGCTATCAGAAAAATATTTAAAAAAAATTTATGTATGTGTTTTGAAAATTATAGGTCTTTGAAAAAAATATAGAAATTTCACACCCTACGGCAGTCTGTCAACTCCTGTTACTACAAATATTAACTTTTTTTGGATTTTATTTTTACAATGTAATGATGAATAATGCATCTTCAAACTGGTGTCTCAACCTTACTGCCAACTTTTCTCGTTCAGGAAAAATTGACACTTATTTCCCAACCAAGTATTCCAAAGTAAAACTTTGCTCAACTTTAACTGGCTGTACTGGAAAAAATGTACTACGAGAGTTTGGCAAGTAACCTTAAAAGTTGGCGCATTTAATAAGGATTCCAAAATGGTATAACACTTAGAAGATTACTAGTTAACTTATGCACAATTTTTATTTGAAGAAAAACTGATGAAAATTTTTCAAAATTTCCTAATTAAACAGCGATTATGAAAACGCACAAGGACCCTTAAGGATAACTGTTTGCACAACAGTGGGCGTCAAAGTGCTGCTGATTTACCTTTACAGCAAATGCTCAAACTGTTTTCCTTCAGCCGCAATACACGCTCGACATCTTAAAAAAGATCGGGTTATTAAACGAGCGAATCCACGGTTATTAACAAACTCAGCTGCTTCCAATAGTCTTTGCCGTAGCTCAGCTACATTTTGAATCGGCTTGAAATACACTTTTTCTTTTACAGTTCCCCAGTAAAAAAAATCTAACGGATTCAAATCTGGTGACCGGGCTGCCCACGGTATTGTACCAGACCGCCCTATCCATCTGCCTGCAAAGTTTTGATCGAGATACTCTCTCACTGAGAGTGCATAGTGCGCTGGGCAGCCATCATGCTGAAACCATATGTCCCTGTAAATACTCAGTGGCACGTCCTCCAATAAATTTTCTAAATGATTTTGCAAAAAACCTAAATAAACCTCAGCAGTCAAAGTCTCTGGGAACTCAAACGGACCGATTATTTTACCATTTAAAATTCCTGTCCAATGGTTTATCTTGAAGCGATATTGAGATTTATCTTCTCTCATCAAATGTGGGTTTGCTACGTGCCACTCGTGTAAGTTATGCAGGTTCATGTACCCATCTTTCTTAAATGTGGTCTCATCTGACCATAAAATTTTGTCAAATAACCGTGGATCTTCCCTGTGTCTTTCTAACATTGTGCGACAAAAAGCAACTCGGGGCTCATAATCCCGGGGCAGAAGAGCTTGAACACGCTTTTACCTTGTATGGATGGAGCACGTTTTTTTGCAAGATTCTATGGGCTGTACTTATGGGCACACCTGTTTTTAGTTCTATTGCACGCACGGGTCTTCTTCGACAGCTCCTAGCACCACGTCTTCGTAAGGAAGGAAAGATCTTCTCTCACCGTGTGATTGGTTTGGTAGTTGGCCCTCTGAGAACAGTAAGCGGTGCACATTTGTGAACACTCGATGATCTGGATGACGAGCTGCATTCGGGTACCTCTCACAGTAAAGTCTCGCTGCAGCACTAGCGTTGCATCTGCATTCCCCATAAATGAGGTGCATGTTAGCATATTCATGTACGGTGTACACGGACATAGCGGCACTGCACAATCACACTATCAAAGATAGTCTAAGGAAAGCAAATGTTGTTTTGAAGAGCAATTAAACAGTCCAAATCCAAATCACAAGCGATCAACAGTCCAGTTCACGAATCCAAAACTAGTAACAGTAAGAAATCAACAAGCACGAACATGTAAAGATGCGCAGTAAACGAAGGAGTACTGATCGGTATCAAAGTGTGCAATAGCAAGTAAGTGATGGTGCTTCATCCATACCACATACAGCGTGTTCAACCTCTCATGCCCCGGGATTATGAGCCCCGAGTTGCTTTTTGTCGCACAATGTTAGAAAGATACAGGAAAGATCCACAGTTCTTTGAAAAAATGTTATGGTCAGATAAGACCACATTTAAGAAAGATGGGTACATGAACCTGCATAACTTACACGAGTGGCACGTAGCAAACCCACATTTGATGAGAGAAGATAAATCTCAATATCGCTTCAAGATAAACCATTGGACAGGAATTTTAAATGGTAAATTAATCGGTCCGTTTGAGTTCCCATATTCCAAAACGTCCATCTACGCCAAATAATATGGTTTCGCGCCACGACAGTTAAGATTTTTTAGTGGTCATATGCAATGTCAGCGTACCAAATTACTCTGGAGTCAGAGGCTGATATAATATTACGCACACCGTACTGTGCGTTGGGTTCCGGGTATTAGGGGCCTCGTAAACGATTAAAGGGTTTCTAGAGTAGAGAAAAACTGTTTTTTGAGAATCATGACGCTCATCTCCGCTCTCCAGTTTTCACCAGGCGCATAGTCATGAGGCTCGTACAGCCATATTCTGGGCCCTACAGGAGTCCCTTACAGAGATTTTGCTTCGAGCTCCGCACACCTTAGATCCGTTACTGCCTGAAGTACAGCTTGTAAAAATTGAGAAAATTCAAATTTTAAAATCAACGTTAAAAAAACTCTGCTTATCTGCAATTTCGGCTAGAAACCGTTCAACGAGTAAGTAGGGTATGTAGACCACGAATCTGATGTTAATTTCTCACTGGGATCGTTGCGATTCCCCAAAAGTATGTCCATTTTTACCTTCTCCAAATAAGGTTTCATGGCACAATAAGGTTTTTTTGATAACCACAGAGGAGGATAGAGTCGCAAGTGATAATGAAACTATCAGTGCCGTCTTAAGACATGAACATATGTAGCTGAAAGGAAGGTAAGTCGCACAATAAAAAACGTGTGTGTGTGGTGTTTTTTTGGGCTATTTTTTCGAGAAATCATCTACGGCAAGTTTATTCAGTATTCAGTATAGCTAATATGGGAAGGTATTTCTTTTGGGAGCACAACCATATATTTTTTATTTACGCTCTTAGGAGACAAATCTTGTGGTATCGGAGCATGCTCCTAGCCATAGGATTTGTTTTTCAAAAAAGCCTTAGAAGTAATTTTTTGTACAATACGTTAATCAATGGCAATTATCATTATCCCTATTCAATCTTTCAGCCACCCTGTGTATTATTGACAAATGAAGAAAACATTAACTGACCTTTCTCAACATAACTTGCTGGGATTCTGATGTACTCATCTCGGGGATGCAAGGATGTTGCCCGTTCATAGCACAGGACGATTTCACGGAAGTCCCTAAATGATCACTAATTTTCGGTTGTCCCTGATTCTGCACCTGCTGATTATCCGCGGCTGAGGATTTCGTGGTCTGTTGTTTATATTGCGAATTCACGGCGAGTGATCTCGCGAAACAGCTCTTGAATAGCACGTCTTCTTCTTCACACATCTTTCCGAATGCGAATTATTGTCCTTTTAATTCACGATATCGCATAATCACAGGGCCAAAAAGGCATTCCGAATATACCTGCCAGAAGGACCAGCAGGTACTCCCTCTAAGACGACAACAGAGTTACTGAAGCGCGCTTCCACATGAAACATGAAAGTTGTTTGAAACCATTTTTGAAACGCACCAATGAACAAGCACGAACGGCACTGACCGAAGTCGGCCGAATTTAGCCGGACATGGCTACGTATAGCTGTTTGCATAAGTCAGTGGCGGAAAATTATAAGGCCGGCTACAGACATCGCGTAGTTTTTTTGCACAAGGCAGCATGAGTGATTGCCCTATATGGCTAAAATTTGCTAGTAATCCCCAGTAATATGGACAGATCTTAGCCTAGGTTACTAACATACATTGCTGATTTAGGTGCTCTTTGATTGACCAAGGTAGAAAGGAAGCAGCAATGTCAAGAGCGTTATATATGGAACGCAAATTTTAGTCATTTGGTGCAGATTTCGAAGCCATGAGGACACCAAAATCATATTTTAGAGCAAAACGCTGCACGTAGCATACCAAATAGTATACTCATGGCGTTTTCCTCTGGTAAATAATGGGTAATAGCAATCAATATCGTATTCTGCCTGAAGATAGTAAGTACACGTAAAACTATAATACGTCCCGAAAATTATTCTGGATGAAATGAGATACCGCAGCGTCATCTATGAGAACTTGCCACAGCTATGTTTTTTCTCTCCGCAATAATTAAAAATTGAAAATGTTAGTGTCTCAAAGATGGCGCTGTAGCTATATGCTCATGTATAGTTGACTACAGAGCTATCTATGATGCACTAACGATTTCAAAGTAGTTCTCTAATTATTGCGGAAGACAGAAACATAACTGTAACAATTTTCATAAATGGCGCTACGGTATCCCAGTTCATCTCATAATTTTTGGCTACTAAATTCAGGTAGAATACGTTAGGCGATGGTAATAGGTAATTATAATAGATGAAATATGAGATTATCGATATTTGGTAAGTAGAGGATTGATAAATGTATTAAGTCTTAATGAAGTATTAACTGGTTATTAATAGGCTTTGTTTTGTCTAGAGTCAAGACTAATATCATACCCTGACCACATACTTGTTTCAATTACGGAGAAATTAAAACATATATTTAGTTTGATTCGGCCAAACAATGAAATTGAAACTTATTTATTTTCCGATAAGCGAGATTTTATTAGTTTACAAAGCGGCCTGGCTCTATTGTGAATCCATCGAAGAAAGAGACCAAACCTAAACGTATTCACGTATATTTCACGTGATCGCGCTCCAGAACGCCGAGGACGTTACAGGGCCGTACTAAACATAAATGATTTATGGTTGTACGACACGTTCAATGAGCATGCAAAATTATTGTGGGCATGTATAGGTCCAAACATGAAGCTTGGAATTAATATACCTATATTTTTTTTAATTTAACTGTCATGACCAAAAAAAACAACTGTCTATTGTTGTTTTTAGTAGTAGTGTTTTATCAAGAAATCACACTTGAAATGTGTGGTAGGGCGCATTTATAGAGCAAGCTTTTAAAAAATGTCTTGACACATTAAAGCAGTAATTGCATATGCATATTACCTAACCACCGCTTGAACAGGGACGTCAGTGTCCAAACAATTAATTCAAATATTAGACTAAAAAATGAATAGATAGGTGGGGTTGAAAAAAAAGGAATTTGAATATATAATAATATATATTTAATATTATACAAAAATTTATTGCACAGACATTTTACCTCTAACACTGGAAATTCATGTATTTGAAAATGAAATTCAATCTAGATCGGAGGCCGTGGAACTCCCACTGTCATCAAGATTTATGATTGAAGGGGCAACGTACGTATCAATGATACCATCTAATTCTCACATTTTAGGTTCGACCTTTTCTTTTACATGCTGAATACATTTTCCCACTTATTCAGTGTTATTATTTGTATAGCATCATGAACAATTTTAATCTTTTATTTTCTGCTGCAACATATTTTTTGTCTGCCCAAATGAGCTCAATCGGATTGAGCCCACAATGGTAAGGAGGCAGTCGTAAAACAGTTTTATGTTGTTTTTTGACCATTTAATCAATTATGTTCAGGTTATATTTATTTTCATGCGTCTTGACAATTGGTAACAATTCTGCCTTAACCATTGTATCATAATAATCAATCTTTTTATTTTTAAGCCTTCCTTGAATTTCTGATTTTTTTGTTGACGATTTTTTCTCTAATTTTCCCGTGTGGTATGAAGCATTATCTAATACTATAACCGAATTATCTTCAAGCTTCCGGAGAGTATTAGAGAACCAATTTTCCAACGAGGATCCATCCATTTCTTCATGGTAGTCTCCCGTTTTTTTGGATTCAAATGCCTATAAAGCATCGGATACAAGTCCATCTTCATTACCGATGTGGCAAATTATTATCAATGGCTTCCCTTTTCCTAAAAATAATTCACTTTGGATACTAAAAAACCGCTCCCATTGAAAGCATTAAAAACCCAGCAAAATGATTACTTGATTTCTCTTTTCTAGTTTAAGCATGTACAAAAACAAAAATAAAATATAATTTTAGTTGATTTTCCTCATCTTACAAGTATTAAAAATATGTAGGTGTCAGCGCAATCATACCAGAAATGTTGTGTTTTGAAATATTACCTGAGTGATTTTTTAATCCAGTGGATAATCCATTCAAGTCAAGACAGCTTGCTTTGAAGATTTTATGGAAGAATCCATTCAAACCTTCGCCTGTGTATGCCCTACCTTCTGCACGAAATTTTCTGATTTGTCTTAGATAGTCCGTTCTCCAAATAACTATTTCGTCTTTTTCCAATAAAAGACTGTTCCTTCCCAGCTTTTCGTATTGAAACCCAATTTCTTTTAGAAATTTATGGAAGGCAAATCTCTTGAAACTTGGCAAGTCATTATTCTCGTTAACCAGCTTCAGCACTGCATCCACCGTTGGTGATTCATTACGAAAGAAACAATTATGTACAATTCTCATTATGGCGGTACTGTCGAAGACATCTATGGCATTGATGATTTTTTTTCTTGGTGGATTCTTTTTTGGGTCGACCAGTGAATGGTTAGATCTGTACTTCCGAACAATTCGGTAAACACTTGCGCGACTAACGCCCGAAATACTTTCTACTTTGCAAACAATATCCTGACCACTTGAGTCACTCCTTCCTTGCATTTCGCATTTATTAATTTTGATAATTATTTGTTTTTCGCTAACGCTAAAACGAAGCCTTTTAGCTCTTTCTTTAGGCGGTATGCAGCTTATATCAAGGACTTCATCAGCTGTATCCGTATCAGACATTTTGAGTTCTACAAAATTAAACTGACAAATTTAATAAGCACACAGTAATACCAGTATAAATCTGATGCCATTTTTTTTTTGTTGGTGAGGGGGGAATGCGTTTACGCACCATACTATAGCCCGAGCTACGGCGTGTGTGGGACTCCAGGTTGTCTTGAGGAGACCACCTAATACCCACTAAACCCTAACCTCCGCGTGGCCCGACTCATCAGAGTCTCGGTAGGCCATGTGTTGTGCGTGACCTGCGGTCTGCTACAACGTCTCCTCATGTGTTTCAGTCTCTGGGAACGTCGGGTTGGTTCCCTTTACCTCGCACATTCTATCGATGTCGTTAAGCGATCATCGATAGAGGGTCTGCTAGGTTCTCTTGAAACTCTTGTTTTCGAAAAATTAAGAGTTTCAAGTCCTCTTACCTAATGATGCCAACGCTGTACTGTATATATATAGCATTAACGTCCAGCTACCGTGCCAACCTACATGCACGGTCGTAACGTCTCCCACTCCACCTTCTGATTTGTTATTGGTTTTGTGTAAGGGCCAATAACAGTTATCCTCCCTCTCTCATGAAATGTATCAGTGTGCTGATTAGGCAATGATCACGCGATGTTCACTGTTTTGGTTTAGTCTCTTTCTTGGATACATACATAATAGTAAGGCGACGGTGAGGCGTTCTGCCTGTATTTAATCTATAGACGCCTTTAGCATTATTATGGACATTGACATCGACAGCTGAGTTAAATGTCAAATCGTCAAGTGAGGTTAGAATTCAGACTAAATGTCAGCAAACTATAACAAATAACAAAAAGAAAGTTGGATTTATATACACAAAATAGTGCGAGACAATAACATTAAATTAGCTCTGGTTACGAACTAAGTTGATATTTTATACAAAAATACAACTCCAGCATGGGGAAGAAAGCAGAAGTTGGTACTCCGAAGTACCTTGCAAACAAAATGAAAGCAAAGGGGCTCCAAAAGCTTCGATGGTACTGCCAGATGTGTCAGAAGCAATGTCGAGACGAAAATGGCTTCAAGTGCCATACTATGTCAGAGTCTCATCAAAGGCAACTGCTCCTATTTGCTGATAACTCCAAAAGGTACATTGATGACTTCTCATTAGACTTTGCCAAAGGCTACATGGAGATACTTCGTCGGCAGTTTGGAACAAAAAGAGTGAATGCCAATAAGGTCTACCAAGAGTATATTCGTGATAGAGATCATATTCACATGAATGGTACACGGTGGGTCACTTTAACAGGGTTTGTGAAGTGGTTGGGGGCCACAGGACAGTGTGTTGTTGATGAGACTGAAAAAGGGTGGTTCATCACTTATATAGATAGAAGTCCAGAGACTGTGGCTAATGAAGAAAAAAAGAAGAAAAAGATGAAAATGGATAAGAATGATGAGGAAAAGCAAATGGAGTTTATAGAAAAACAAGCAAAATTGGTGAGTGAAATGGCTGGCCCATCAGAGGAACCTGTTTATACAGAGCTAGTGAGGGAAAATGAAGAAGAACCATTGAAGCTAGATATAAAAATAAAAACAGAAAAACCTATGATCAATTCAGTAAAAATTCTACAGCTGTCTAAAAGACCTTCAGATTCTCAGCAAACTACTTCAAGTGATTCAAAGAAAATAAAAACTGAGAAAAGTAAAAAGACAGCATTAGATGAAATAAGAGAACAAGAAGAGTTAAAGAAGGAGAAGATGAACAGAAAAGATTATTGGCTTACTGATGGAATAGTAGTGAAAGTGATGAACAAAAGCTTAGGAGAAGAGTACTATAAGCAAAAGGGTGTTATCAGAGAAGTGATAGACAAATATGTGGCTATAGTCAAATTGTTAGATAGTGGTAAAAAGTTAAAAATTGATCAAGAGCATCTGGAGACAGTAATACCGGCTATTGGAAAATTAGTGAAAGTTGTGAATGGTGCATACAGGGGTGAGACTGCCACTTTGTTATCTATACATGAGAAAAACTTTTGTGCTGAGATTGAAATCGCTAGTGGACTGCTCAAAGGGAGAAAAGTTAGCGGGGTTGAATATGAAGATATATGTAAATTACATGAGCATTGAACTAATATGAATGTATATATTTTTTGTACAGTACAACAGAAAACTTGTATTATATGTAAAATAAAGTTATATGGAATAGCTGGAAGAAAGCATTTTAACACGTTGGCTGCCGTGAGACACAAATGTGGCGTCTCAGGTTGTTTTCGATAACAGCCGAGTGACACACCTTAGTTGTCTCATCAGAAATTCTGTAATATAGCCGTGTGAGCCTGGGTGGTTGTCTCAGTCCTATATAAGTAATATGGAACTGAAAGATCACGGCTGTAAATGTCTAAAACTGTTTTTGGTTTTTGGATCCGTGACCTATAAGTGGTTACTCATGGCCTGATAGATACGTAGATAATAAAACGAAAGGTATTCAAAAAGCAACCTCCTTATGAAGTGGAATACAACAAAAAATATATTTCTCATAAATATAGAACAAAAAACATGAAAATGTATAATAAAAACAACAATTATTTTGTGCACTTATGTACCTGGAAAAAACACTCAATGCAAAAATATTTTTCACATGACGTGCACTTTAGTTTTGTTCGCGGAGTTTTTCTTTGAGCATGTGCTCGCCCAGATTCTCTTTGAAGTTTTTCATAACAAAAAGCGCATCGACGTCGGTTGATGGTACCAACATCTTCCAAAGAATGTTGATGATCTTCAAAAATACTATGCGTATGCTGATCAACGTCAAAGCCTAAGAGTCTGTTTACGATTTCCTGCTTGAATTTTGTGATGGACATTTTTTCGTTGGCTACTTCTTGGTGCAAAACATGTGTATTTACTAATGCACTACCAATAAGAAGCTCAATGGCCGGCTTGCGGTACCACTTCACCCCTCTGCGTAATGAGGTGGCATAAGACTTCATTTGATCCGACAAGTCAATATAGGCTTTATGTTTGTTGTAGTCAACCACAGCAGCAGGTTTTTGCAATTCTTTATTATTGCCAGATCTGATGATTAGTAACTCATCGGTGTGTTTTGTGGATAAGGTAAGCACATCTCTTTTGTCCTTCCACTTCTGGATAATTATACCTGAGTTGCTTTCGGCTGCCCCAGTTTCTCCTTTTTTGAGCTTTTTATCAACAACTTGTTTAGGATTCATTTTTCGATTGGATCGGAAAGTCCCAACCATGTGAGTGTTCCTTGCAAGTAATGCACTTGCCAACTCGATACTTGTATAATAATTGTCCGTATGTCCGTCCCTTGTCAAACAAGTCCTTTGCAAGAGTGAGCACTACTTTTTGGGATGAAGATTGACCCTCTACACAAGTTTTATAGCTTCTTAGGAAGACTGAAACACATCTGATGAACACCGCATAAACTAGACTGAGACGTCACTGATAGCATTCGCTTCTAATACATTGTTCGGCTCGCACCGGTCGACAGGTCGATACAAGTCGGTGAGACACAACATTTGTTGCACGCGGCCATTGGGTAAAACTTCATATGTTGAGGCCGCGTGACCATGCGGTGGGTCTCATCAAGAAACGTGTAAAAGAATATGAAAAAAATTTTTTTTGGGAACACAAAACACGCGCGGGTGTTCTAGAATACTGAAACTAGTATTTGGAAGAAAAAAAAAAGGTGGCCCCAGGGACCGATTTTTTTTTAGTATTACGGCAGTCAACGTGTTAATTATTTGCTAAGAGTGTTTGGCGCGTGCGTTCAGAATATACAACAGATACCAGACTCTACACATAGTGTCTGCAATATTTATTTACTGTGCAGAATCAGAATGGTTTCGTACTGTACAAACACAAACTTACAAATAAACTCGTCACGCCCTTTTTCCTACTGCAACTCTTCAAATCATTCGTCGTTTTTTTTGTGACAAGTGACATTAGCATGACAAATAACTGTTGGAATCTTAGACGAGGAAAGAGAGTGGACTCGTAACGCGCATTCACAGACCGGCGCAGTAAGTGTGCCCAATTATTGAAGAGACGCCATTATTTGGGTCCTATTCTTGAAACCGACTCCAAGCCTTTTTTTCTGTGTTTCTGTGCTATTGTGTATTAAAGACTGCGACTTTTTTATTCAATAAGAATGGTGTTGTGCTCGGCTTTTGATTGCAAAAATCGCAGTGAGAATAGAGTGCCAGGAATAACCTTTCACAGGTAAATTTTTTAGTTGTGTTGATAACGTAAATACCTTAATTACTTTATAACTCCATTTTAAACGACTGCAACAATATTATTTCAGTGATATAAGTACTACTTCACTTGAATGCATAATTTAAATTAGTTATAGCAATGTGTTTCATTCAGGATTTGTTTGAATTTATCAATTTTATATCACTATTATGATTGAATGGCGGTCATTTGCCAGTGGCGGGAGTGATATTTTTTTATTTATTATATTTTCAAATATGTTCAATATCAAGTTAGTTTAGTATTGTTGTCATTGTATTTCAGGTTTCGTCTTAAAGATCCAACAAGAAACGGTATCTGGCTGAAGAATATGCATCTAGCTGACTGGTTTCCCACAAAAAATAGGCTGTTGAAAGCATTTTACAAAGTTGGAAACAGAACCTCTCTTTTGGATGATGCAGTCCCTACAATCTTTGAAGAACTTCCAAAACACCTACAGACTAAGCTAATTTAATACTTAACCCAACATATTAAGAAATTTACAAAACAAATTATTCCTTTACTCAGTTTACAGAGAAATTCTACCAATAATTACTATAATCTGAAATAAAAATGAAAATACTAATTAAGTTGAGGACTTATTAATGTAATTGAGATATATTTGATTGCAGGTAACAAAGAGACCACATCCAAGATCTAGACAGCTTATTACACCTACAGCTTCGACATCTAGGAAAAATGATCCTCCCCAAGAAGATCCAGACACCCCCAGAAAGAAGCATCCTAGAAGACAGCTTTTTGCAGAAAGGGTAAAGAGCCAAGAGAAATCGAGAGAAATAAAAGTTTTGAATCAGCGGGTGAGAAGACTGAAAAGACATATTGTTTCTCTCAAACAAGTAGTGAAAGAAAGCCTTAAAACAAAATAATTTGGTATCTTGTGAAAGCTCAGTTCTGCTTGAAAACATGTCAGAAATTACGAAAGAATTACAAAAGCGTAAGTTGGGAAAAAAGCATCAGTATGGAGACAGAACTGTGAAAGTTTGCAATTACTTTGTGTTTTTTCTCCCAAGAGGATATGATTATGTACGAAATGCTTTTGAAACCTGTTTACCCCATAGAAGCACTATAGGAAAATGGTTTAAGACCATTAATGCTGAACCAGTTACTCTAGTGAGGCAATTAATGTTTTGAAGAAAAATGTAGAATATTCGGATAAGCCTGTACTATTAAGCCTCATTATAGATGAGATGTCCATTCGGAAGCATCTTGATTTAGAAGATGATTCTAACTTTATGGCCAAACAGGTATTTGTTATGATAATTGTTAACATTAATGGAACTTGGAAGCTGCCAGTTGGCTATTTCCTTGTAGATAATTTGAATGGAAATCAAAAAAGTGTACTTGTTTCACAGTGCATACAATTAGTTTCTGCTACAGGAGCACGAGTTGTATCGCTTACATTTGATGGTGCTCCTTCAAATATTGCAGTGGCAAATACTTTGGGAACCAATAATTCTTATGACTCATTAAAAACACATTTTTCTTTGGATGGTAACAACATTTATGTTTTTTATGATCCAAGGCATATGATAAAATTAATAAGAAATGCTTTTGGGGAAAGAAAACTACTAATAGATGACAATGGGAATTTCAATAAGTGGGAATTTATAGAAAAACTGGAATTTATTTATTTTTATATAGATTCTAATTATTTTCAATAAAATATCTCAGTTCATACTGAATGTTCATTAAAAAAAAATATTCAATATAAAATAACAATAAATAACTTATATATTATTTTTAAATCGCAATCAACACACTCAAGTTATGATATTCATGTTGAACAATGCTCTCAATAAAGGCATATATGATTATAATCATGTTTACCAATAAGTGAAATTTACACTGTAATAATTATAATTAAAGTACCATAATATTATAACGCTATGTCATACTCAATAAATGTTTCTGTGTAAACTACATGTTTATTTTTAATAAAAAAAATGGGAATATACCTACTCTGCGTGAGATTTGACACTTTCATAAATGAAATAATTTATTTTTTAGTTATATTGCTCAATATTTATTGGGTGTTTAGTATTTTTATGGAATACTTTGTCTGTTGTTATGCTTTCACATAAATTAACTACAATAAAATATAGATCATTCAATTTGTTCTATTTCATTTTTATAATAAAATAATTATTAATGAAAAAACTTGTTGAATCTGTGGTATTAGAAATTACCGATAAAAATATACTTTGTAAATAATATAATAAATTTACTTTTTTCTACGAAGAAAGTATCATTTTTCTTCCGTTTTTTTAGATATTTCAAATTGAAACTATAAAATAGACAAATACTAAGCGTCACTCAAGTGCAAAATTTATTTCTGTAAGATGGTACTGAACCCTGGCGATACGCCCCTGGGTTGACAGCCTGGAGTCTGACTAGGCACACTTTTAAAGCGGACATGGCGTGTCCTCTCTCTTTCATCGTCTAAGGTTGGAATATTTCTTTGAGGTTATTATTTTGAAAATAATTATAATAAATAAAATAACTTATTAGTAACAATAGCCCTGCTTAACTCATCATGGCAGAAATATCAACCGGCACAGAAGACAAAGAAGTGAGCAAAATACTGAATAATCCACCACAGGACCCAGAAGCTGATAAACTTTCATCACCAGGATCTCCAGTTTTAAGTAATAATTTTAACAATTTAACCCGTAAATTATGTAAAAGAAGAAGCAGGGTAAAGCTTGCAGATAAATTTAAGTCAGAAACAGCAGTGGAACCTCTTGATAAACAAATTCAAAAGTTTCATGAAGAAAGTTTTACTGCTTCCCAAGCTAATAATTTGGCTGCTGTTTTGGATAGAATAGAGTCCATAGAACATAACAGACGGTTGTGGTATAATATGATCACCACTGATAAACAAGATGATATTTATTTTAAAAAACCACTACCATTGTGTTCCAAATCTCACAAAAACAATAGCTCAGTTGAACTAGATGATATGCAGGTTCAGAGATATGATAAGTCACAAACACATTTACCACCTGTTCAGCTACCAGTTTGCTCTAGTTTTCAGACTGCTGCAGGTAAGAAAATGGAGATATCTGATAGTGATATTGAAAAACAGGCTTGGATTTTTGAAGGCATACATCAGCCTTCACTAGGTCGAAACACATGTAATGCAAAACAGTATAACTTCTTGCGAAAGCCTGACACAGGACAAAATGCTACTGATATAGGCAATAATGTAAATGAAGAATCTAAGTTTAGAAAAAGCAATGCCTCAAAAATTTCTGAAAATGTTGATGATGCTATTTCTTTAACTCAAGAAATTAGTAAGTCAGGAATTAGTGATACACAGATATTATCTATTGTAGACATATATAATATGGTTCAAAATAGTCGATCAGAGAATCTAGAACCACATGAGAAGATATTTAATAAAAATGTTTCAATGAAACAAGAAAGCATTAGTCAGAATAAGAAGGAAGATCAAGATACATTCATAGGATTTTCTAATAATGATATTGAACAATCACATAGTCATGTTTACAGCTTAAAAAATACTATTAAAAAAATCTCTACAAGATGTAGCAAAACTTATTCTGAAAACAACAGTAAGAAGCGAGTCCATGAGTTGGTTGAAATGCCTGCCAGCAAGAAAATGAAGCTTGGTCCATTTAATGCTGGGATTAAATCTAGCAGCTTGGTTAGAACTTCATGCAGTTTTTCAAGTGCTTCTGGGAAACATATCATTATAACATCTAATGCATTAAAAAAAGCTAGTAATATTCTTGATAACATAGAAAATGATCTAGGAACTCTGGAAGCAGCTAGAAGTACAGATTCTGATAGTTTGAAGAAACCTACTCTGATTCTTGATCCACAATGTACAAATTATGATGATCCAGCAAATTTGTTAAGTAAGAATCAAGTGTTGTATAACCCACAAAGTATCCCCAAAGAAGTAGCTCATATGTCTATATTGAATAATATCAACTGGAAGCTAAATAATCAAAATGTTTGCTCTGGTTTTGCCACTGCTTCAGGGAAATCTATGGTAATATCTGAGAAGTCAAAACTGAAGGCAAAGCAAGTGTTCGGGGAGATTCTGGATGACACTACAGATGGTCATATAGTAACAACCACAATAAAGAATAAGCATAAGTTATTAGATGATGCTATAAAGAAAGCTGAATGTTCTGGAAAACCTGAATCTAGCATAATTCCACAGTGTACTGAAAAGGCTATTATATTGAATAATATCAATTATAGGGTAAATAACGAAAATGCTTGCCCAGGTTTTGCTACTGCTTCAGGAAAATCTATGAAAATATCTGAAAAATCAAAAATAAAGGCAAAGGAGGTTTTTGGAAATATTTTTGATAACACTGGAGATGACAATATAGCAAAAACCACATCTAAGAATAAGCTCAAGTTATTAGATGAAGCTATAAAGGAAGCTGAAACTTCTGGAAAACCAGAATCTAACGTAATTCCATATTGTGTTGAAAGTGATCTAAAAAATCATGATAGTTTCCACAAAGTGCCAAGAGAAAAACTTGATTTTACTAATGCTTCTGTAAAGTCTATTATATTGACTAATATCAATTTTAATACTGAAAATGCATGCTCAGGTTTTGCTAATGCTTCAGGAAAATCTATGACAATATCTGAAAAGTTAAAATTGAAAGCAAAGGAGGATTGTGGAGACATTTTGGACAGCACTGGAGGTGACAATATAGCAAAAACTGTATCAGTGAATAAGCGTATGCTACTGGATGATACTACAAGGAAAGCTGAACATTTTAACAGATCAGAACCTAACAGCTTTCCAAAAAGTGTTGAGAATGACCAAAAGTTGCCAACAGAAACACTTGGCTTCACCAATGCTGATGGAGAAAAATATCAGCTATCAGAGTCCTCATTGTTAAAAGCAAAGCAAATGCTTGGAGATTTTATAAGTAATGAAACTGAAAGTGCAAATAGATTGGCTTCTAAGAACAAATTCAAATTGTTAGACAAAGCAATTAAAAAAGCTGAAATCAACATGGGAATCCAACCAAGTAGTGTTGAAGATGATTTTCGAAAAAGGAACCTCAAAAATAGGATACCGCCTCAACTGCATAAGAATCCATTTCAGCCTAAGTCATTTGGAGACCAAGTAGTAAACCATTCTGAAGCGCATACTCCAAAAAGAGAAGACAGTTTATTGAAAAGACAAAAAAGGAAATTAGGGATATCCTCTTGCAAGCAAATCAGAATTCCAGAACAGAATTTGAAGAAGGCAAAATTGTTATTTGACCAAGAGATCCAAAGTATATCACCTGTTAAACCAATAGGATTGCATATCCAACAGAACCATAACACTCCTGTGCGTCTAGAGGGTTCTTTCAGTAGAACTGATGGAAAGTATTGTTCAACTCCACTACAAAATAACCTGGCCACCTTAAAAACTCTGCCAGTTGAAAGTCCAATGGTACCAGAAAGGAGAATATCATATGAAGGTCCAGAATTAAGCCCAGAGTCTTTTTTTGTCTTTGGAGCTCCAACTAAAGGATGTATGGCTGATTGGGTGATGAAATATAGTGAAGAGAGGAAGCTACTCGAAGAAAAGTTGAAGAAGATACAGGATAGAGAGGCAGAGTTGCTCAAATTAGATGAGACAAAGACAACTGAAAATAGGTATTTTTTATATGACATATAATTCTTGGGTGTTTACAATGATATTCTTACTAAATGAGTCTTAAAATCAATGGAAAAGTTGCTACTTCATGTAACAAATTAGATTAAAATGTTGTGGAATTCTTAACATTTCTGGAGGTAGACAGAACAAACATTTAACATTTAGTCAACAATAAAATTCAGCAATACTTTACTAACTACTGTGTTTTTGAATGTTATATCATTTTAGGATTTGTTTGGGAGTCTTGTATCAGAAAAAGAAGTCAAGCAACAGACTTAACTTGAGAGGACTTTCAGATGAAATATGCACATCTGAAGACACAAATCAAGATTTATTTTTTGTTAGTCCTGAAAATGCTGCAGATTTTCATTTCAAGTAAGTACTTGTATATATGTGGACCATTTTTTACTTGTTTCCATCAGTATCTCATTATTTAACAAGCACTTTCCATCAAGAACTAACTTTAAAAATTGCCGTCATAAACACAATGAATTATTTTTGAATGCTGGCACTCTTCTTGAATAAAAATGGAATAAATTGGTTCTAATTATACTTGTAGATGTGATACTGTTCTGAACACAGAGGATGGTGCTACAATTGTCCCAAATCTGGACGATTTAGTTGGTTTATCAGAAATACAGTTAGGTATAGAAACTATGGCTGGTGTAGAAACTAGGCTGATTCCTACAAACTGGATCAAAAATCACTACAAATGGATAGTGTGGAAATTGGCAAGTTATGAAAGGAGGTTTCCCAATAAATGTAAAGGCATTTTGAATATAGAAAATGTTGTACAACAATTAAAGTACAGGTAAATGTCAGATAACCAATGACGGGAATACTGTATTGACCCATTGGTACGTTTTCCATTAAGAAACTAATTTTTAGATACGATCGTGAAATAGACAAAGTGGAAAGATCTGCACTGAGGAGAATAGTTGAAAGGGACGATGCTCCTCAAAAACGTATGGTACTCTGTGTGTCAGCAATAAAAAGTGTAAGTGAATATGTATTGGATTTCGTGATGGTGTGACACTTGAACCTACATTTCACGGGCGCCACATATTCCGTGGAATGGAAATGACGATTTTGCACTACAACATTCTTATATTTTGAGGTTCATTCCAGCAATTGAGGTTATACTGTGGAAAAAAAATCAAAAAATCCCTTCGTTTTGTGGTTTGTTCGCGCAGTGGTCGGTGACTTGTCGGTGATTGTGTCTGGGATCCGGCCGTGTGTATTCGGTCTATATAGCGTAGCAGAATGAAGGGAATTTGTGTGGCGGGATCTTGGACACGATCACTGACAGGCTGGTGACAGCTGTACGAACAGGGCTTTGATGCGCGTATTTTTCGATCGATAACAATATCTATAATTTTAGAAAGGCTTTACTAAACATGAGTTAGAGCTAACAGATGGATGGTATGCTGTGAAAACTGTGATAGATGAACCTCTATGCGCTCAAGTATATGGAAAAATCCAAATAGGCACAAAACTCGTAACATGTGGAGCTGAGCTACTAAACTGTGATGGTTGCCATCCTTTGGAGGTATTGTGTTTCAGTTTTTGCTAATACATAAGATGTTATTGATGTAAAAAATAAAAGTATCCTTTTGTAATCAATTATATTTTTGCTCTCAATATTATTTCAGGCAACAGATTTAGTTTCTTTAAGAATAAACTACAATAATACACGGAGAGCTTGCTGGAATGCAAAACTCGGATATCAAAAATATCCTCAGTCATTTCCCATAAAAATATGCAATATACACCCTTCAGGAGGAATGGTTGGTGCCATAAAAATATGCATCATCAGGGTTTATCCGCTCAAGTTTTTAGAGAGGCTTGGTACAAACACAGGTACTATTTAAATATCCTTCAGATCGTTACATTCACCAGTAAGTAATGTATTACAGTGCTTACTGACAAAATATTCTGTTCCTAATCACATTATTATGTTTCAAGTTTGGAGGAATAAAAAAGCGGAAGAAAGAAGAGCTCAAGAATGGGAGAATGAAATGTGCAGGAAAATTGAAAATCTTCATAGCAACAGTAAGAAAAACTTGCAAGGTGTGAGAGACGAGGTCAATAACTTGATAACGAGGGATATATCAGTAGTGTTCAGGCTTCTGGTGATCGATTTATTGGACAGTGAATACAGGACTTATACCTTTCATGTTTGGAGACCTTCTGAGAGCCACTTACAAGATTTAAGAGAAGGAAAATCTATGACTGTCTATAACGTCGTACCAAAGTAACTTGTCACTCCTCAATTTCTATAAAAAAATTAAAAAAATATCATATACTTACATACTTATTTTCTGAATTATTGATCTACTTGCTGGTTTCAGAAAAAATGGAGAATTAAGCTCATGTTCTAAAACTTTATTCAAACCCGTAATTACAAAGCAAAATCTGCCTGATAAGTTTTTGAGGAAAGTGACGTTCATAGAAGACATTTCATTAGAGTTGATGGCGGATTTCAGAGAATTTGATACTGTTGGGATTATTGTACAGTCTGTGATAGAAGATAATTTCCAGAAAGTCTGGATAGCTGGTGTTACAGGAAGGTAATGAACGAAAGCTTAGGGAATTAAAAATTTCATTTCTCTTAAGGGGCCAGTCGATTGTGAAAGCAATGGTTAACAAACAAGAAAGTCATTTTGACAATGGCCCTAGATTAGTTGTCAATTTACATAATTTTTCTTAAATTTTCAGATTGCTCTTAGTTAAGATAAATGAAGGTCCAAAGTTCTGTTTACTCCTGGACCAAGCAAAACGAGGACAGCCGATGGCTGTGAGCAATTTATTGCTATTATTTTCATATACAGATGAAGTATCACAAGCTACCGCAAACCATTATTCAGTTTTTTCTTTGTATCCAATGCAGAAACATTTACAAGACGGGCTGGAAGCTTTAAGAAAGAAGCAACTACAGGTGATTTCTTCATCCTTTTCGAAAAACATACAAAAACAGCTTCGTTTTCTGGCCGATCAAAGATTGGTGTGACGTCGGTTGACTCTATGTACTTTTCATGCAATGCTATCAAATTAGAAACCGAAATAAACCCGGTTTAATATAGCTTACCAAATACTTAAATATGTATTATTATATCTGGAATATATTTCTTTCAGAACCTTGACACTTTTCTGAATGAATGTGATGCCAAGATCGAATCATTCAACTCATGTGAAACTACCTTGTCCAGTAAGCCTGATGACAGTGATGAAGAAACCTTGACAACTTCAAGACTTACAAGCACTGATGTTGCATTGTCCCTTATAGATATGGATAAGTTTTTTTAAAGTGATACATATGCTTATAGTTTTTATATTGATGGATTATAATATTAAATAAATTTCGTTGAGTTTTACACTATATTTTCTTTTTTCTTCACCCAACAAGTGATTTTTCCTTAGAGTTGCATGGCACATCAGCGGAATCTCCCGCTGCCCCACACTGCACACTAACAAAGCTTCAAGGTCATATTAAACACCTCAAGGTGCGTAAAGCACCCGGAGAAGATCAAATCGCTAATAAACTGCTGAAGCTGCTTTCGCGGAAGTCCTTAACTTATCTCGAGGCAATAATTTTTTTATACTCCAACCACCACGAAGGCCTAAGGCCTAAACATCCATGGGGTACCGTGGGTCTATAGCGGGAACGAGAGAGGACGCCACACATTCTGGCACCGCCTACGAGATCCGCCGGGTGGAGAAAAATTCTCTTGTGACGGGATTCGAACCCACGCAGCGCACGGTGACTGATTAGTAGAGCCATAACGTCTACCACTACGCTACCGCTGTGCTGATGCCTGAATCGATAAAATAAGGACCCAGTAAAAGACCGCTGATGTTATAATGGTTTCAAAGAAGGTAAGCTCGATATTCCCCCAGGATTACCGTCCCATTAGTCTACTGTCAGCTCTTTCTAAGCTCGCTGAAAAGATGACGTAACCTTGAAAATTTCTTGTCAGACCATAATGTGATTCCTGGCGTGCAATTTAGCTTTCACTCCAAGCACAGTACGGAGTTACAGGCGATTGGACTTGTTGAGCGAGAAACTAGTGGATTCACCCGTAAAGAAAGTATTGGCATCTTGCTTCTGTATATCTCAAAGGCATTTGACAAGCTGTGGCGCAAGGGCCGCCTCTACAAGTTGATTCAAAAGGGTTTGCCTTTCTGGCTCCTAAAACTTGAAATGCTTTCTTGAAGGTAGGAAATTTCGGATCGGTTCGGTTCTTGCACCAATCCGTTATTCACCTTTTATTCACGAAGTCCATTGCCAGACCAACTGTGAAATTTATCTCCATGCTGATGACACTGCCCTGGTGACCCAGTCGTGCTCTGGGAATCTGGTTCACGACAGACTGCAAAGTGCGGTGAACGAGATCTTGAAATCGGTGGATCGGTAGCTGATCAAAATTAATCATTTAGGTTCCAGTGAACGGGCCTCCAACCATAGGAAAGATCTGCTAAGTATCTTGGCGTCACTCTTGACAAGGGGACGACCTGGCAGAAGCACACTGAAGCGTTAAACACTAAATTCCAAATCACGTTTCGGCAGCTCTACCCCATGCTATGTAGAACCTTAAAATTAAGTTTGATCAACACAGTTCGACTATACAAGATGGTTATTAGATCAACGATCACTTACGCAAGTTAAGCTTTGTGTTTTCTCGACAAAACGCATTTGCGTAGTCTGCAGGTTGCATACAATCAGTAGCACCACATGATATGCCTCTAATGAGACCCTCGACAGGGACCCCGAGAGCACTTATCTACTAACTACATTATAGTTAAGCGTGAACAAAATTAAATCTTGCGACTTTAGGTCCAACCAAAATTATAATTTTTCAACAATCAATCTCTAAATTAACTTTGGGATCAATTTAATATTTCCAAATACTAGATAAGAATGCTAAGGCACCTCTAAAAATTGACACACTTCTTCCTTTCTTTCCTTCATCTTCACTTCTTTCTCCCTGAGTTTGTCTGGTATATGGGCAACGGGACTTGACATCAGTTTAACCAAGGGCAAAGGTCCTACAGACCGCTCTGACAGACAATGACGAATAGAGAAACCTTTCGGTGCTTGCGCCAAACCATATTCTTAGTGTCAGATAACCTAGACTTTGAGATTTTTGTAGGCAAACAAGATACAGCGGATAGATTTTACGGTACATGGCGCGGATTGGGGTGCATGCCTGCTCGGATTATTTGTGTTTAATTTTTATTGTTAATTATTTTAAATTACCTATACAATGCGCTCGCGACATTTGAAGGCCTATCTGACAATGAAATAAAAACGATAGATATGGACGTCATATTAGTGCGTATGCAGCTTCAAAACAAATTACCTGACACCATTTTTTATTTTAAAATTTGTATGTCACTGAATTATCAATAAATAATTGCCTATAAAGTAAATAGTATCGAGGATCGAGCAACACCGACAATTTTGTAATAAAGCGCACATTACATAATACCGTAGAACAATTAACTCCCAGTTCGCTATAATTTTATATAAATTGTAGGTTATTCAGGTAATGAAATGAGCGGTTGCCTCATTTGTCGTTGCCTTGTATGGAATTTGCGTGAGATAACGCGATCCATTTATCAGAATTTGCAGACATCGAATATGATAGTGACCTAATGAATCTCCATGTCTCACTAGCCCCCAAATTTAACACTGAAAGATTTACTAACGCTTCGTACACTTTTGTCTCATTTTTTAAAGTAGAAAAGGTTACCAAGGTAGCGGAAACGTTAGTAAATCTTCAAATTCTGCATCTCTGGTTTTATTTGGAGGGCAGCGAGAGAACTACAGGATAAGTTTCAGATCTTGCATAGTGACCTAGTAAGTATAAAGAACAGTACAAGCATTAATCACTGGCGCTCTCAAAATATCAGATATGGAGTTTTCCGACAGAACATTAATATATATATATATATATATATATATATATATATATATATCTGAAAACCTTAGTATTCCTCCGGATGGGTGTAAAATTTTCCAATACTCTTATTTTGATGAAAGTGGATGTCTTTAATTTTTTTCTATGAACAAGAAGAGACAAAACTTGGCTACCAAAATTGAGAGGTAAAAGTTGTACCATCTACACTAATATTATAAAGAGGTAAGGTTTGTAGGTTTGTTTGTAGGAAGTAATCTTTGGAACAGTTTAAGGAAATTACAATTTTGAATTGTGAAACAACTGTGGCTGCTCTTCCACATACCTGAGAAGAAAAAAAGCCTGTACAAAACCTATGCCCTATCTGTTACACTTTATGTAAATACGTACATTATGCGTACAAGTAGAATTTGATTCCAGTTCGACGGGAAGCCTAAATTTTCCTACTCTAAATGACGGCCATATTCGAAACCTCATTCCAAATTGTCAGCATTTTTCGAAGGCCACATAACTAGAGTTTTGTTCGCCTATCCTGCAACATTCATCATTGCAATTTTGAGATCGCACCGCGTAAAACCAGCAAAGTCCAGAACGGCATGGGGAAGGCAACCCCTCTTCCACAATGAGGTTCAGCCCTCCAAAGCGACAGCGCCAATGCACCAGACACGTCACCATCGTCCATCGTCCCGAAAACGTGAAAAGTCCTCCGAAAACGCGAGAACCCAACAGGAACTATTGTCGCGATACACCGGTTAATTGTTGTACAATCTTCGACCACAAATGCTGCACATGTTTTGATAACGGATCTGAAATGTGAGAAGTAGTACTTCGACATCTAAATGTTGCTTGTTCTGTGAGGACATAATGTAAGACACAACAGTCTGGCCTTGTGACGCCGAAATAAAACCTCTGCGCATTTGAGCTACAATGGAAGTAAAAAACTTATGGACCATTAGTTAGGTTGGAAGACATTAAAATTAGACCTTTGCTTGACGAATAGTCAACCAAATTGGATCACAGTTCACAGAAGAACTAGAAAGACAATAGTTGTTCAATTTCATATAGGTTGATTCCTTTACCTTCCTTATGTGATAGTTACCTACCCAATTTGTGTAGTATTGTGATTTCCTCCCATTTTATGTTCTTTGATTATACATTTAACATGACTTGATATTTTTACCGTAGTCACAGGTCACAGCTCATCAGAACGTACGAAACTGAAACCAGAAGGTATTATAAATTTACTGAATGTTTGCCTCAAATCGACATACTTTCAGTGTATGACAAATTTTATGAATAGAATAAAAAAACTCAACCAAAACCAGTTTGGTGAATGAGGTGCATATATCACGAATATGATCAGAATTTGAGTTACATTCAGTGTAGCTCATTTGGTTCTGAAATAAATGTTTTGCTCTTGGGAATATTTTGCAAATCATCGATTTAATTATTAGTTATTTTTGCTAATAATTCAAAGACGGTCATCTTTAAAGAAGGCCTACTAAGAACCTTTTTTGTTCAGAATGATTCAAACAACCTAAAATAACCTTGTCTGGAGAAAAAATTCAATTTTTACGTAACTCGTTTTATAAAAATTATTTGAACCAACCAACAACCACTTGATCCATGTTAAGAGACATCCAACAAACGTAATTACGAAAAAAAAAATCGAGTTGGAAAAAATTTCCCACGAATGCAATGTTTTTACTCGGTCTATATCTCGTAGTGTGAGTCCAATAGTATCGTAAGTCCGAGCAAAATTTTTTTGAGATAAGTGGATAAACTACTACAATTTATGGCTACTGCATGGTGCGTGACCAAAACTATCCTCACTCAAAATTCAATATACATGATATAATTTTGCAGTTAAGATACTATTCTCCTTTATTGCAACACTTATATTAAGAGACCAAGACTGTCACTATTACAGATATGATAGTCTACTTACACTCGCTAGATGAATGCTGCAGCAAAACCCTTATATCGCAAAGCGAAATGTGATAGTGTTGCACCCACAAAATTTTGCATGTCTGTACCTGTTTATTGTCGTGTTAGTGATGACGATGTTCAGTTCACGGCTGTGAAAATTGTTTTCAAAATGACATCTAGAGCAGGGCTGTCCAACATACGGCCCGCGGGCCGCTTCACAGTCATGTATACATCACAAGTATAAATTACTCTCAAATACCGAATATGCATATACCTATTAAAACTCAGTAATACTGTTGTATAGAAAAATTTTATAATGCGGCCCTCCAAACTGCATTTTGAAGTGGCCCTTGGGCCACATTAAGTTGGACAGCCCTGATCTACAGGAAAACTGCTAGTCAGTAGGGCTAGAAAATGCACAGATGAGATGAGTTATTTATATTCTATTATAACATCAAGTTGTACTGTTGTTTGTATGTGTATTTCTTTCACTTCTGAATATTTCAACATTTAATGGCTAAAAAATCGTTTTAATGTATGGCTAAGATTTACAACAATAATTATATTTTGGAGTTCGTTAAAAGAGATATCAATTTTCAACTTTTATACAACTTATTTAACTGATATGTTTTGTACAGTCGTGTACAAAAAAATTGTGGAACGCTCTTACCTTGTTAGGAGAAATAGGAGCAAGCTTGCTTCGGCAAAAATATTTATAAGCTTAGGCCATTATTTTAGCACCTTTATAAAATACCTAAGCTCAGTGTTGCACTGCGAGGTTGCCACTTCTCCGAATTTTCTCCAACGTGAGAGAACCAACCGCAAATTTTTTACACGTCATTTTATTCATTCCGATTTCCATGCCGTCATATTTTTTTGTTGAAACGACGGAAATTTAGACAAAAATAAGCTTGATTATTTTTTAGGTAGAGAATAGAGCTCGCGCAAAAAAGCCGAAGGGCAAAATTTCACTGAAAAATATTCAACACATTATGACTGCTTCACAATTTGTCAATTTATATTCTTGCGCTGTTACCACACCCTCCATCGACAAGCTTGATGTTACACAAGTGACCAGCAACTATAGTATCCCACTATTTGACGACAACCATTGCACCACTGTAACTGACAATAATAATTCAGACAAAATCTTTGAGATATTGAAACCAGTAAGCCTGGAGGACTTTGAGAGCATCAGTGAAATATTCGATAATCCGACGACATCTCAGGCTCAGTTTCCAGGAGAAAACGTTTCAGATCAAGCTAACAACATTATCGAAAATGAGTCAACTGATGATCCGTTCCACGCATCATCGGACGGAGATAGAAGCTGGCCACCTGACATAACACGACAAACATTGGCCGAAATGGTAGAGACCACTGTATTTAATAAATTGCTTTTTTCAAAAATTTTGCATCTTATTTTCATTGAGTAAGCAATACCATATATGGCAAATTTTGTATCATTACCTCCAGCCACCCCGCTGCAAGACTATGTTAACTTCAAATAACTCATTATCAGTCAGTTATTTATTGAGACTCAAAAACATCTGTTGACAAGCCTATGTAAGTGAATTACCTGATTTTATCATACAGCATTCTTTTAAACAGCGCCGATACAAAAAAACATCAAAAATATTAGGCAAAATAAAACATTGATTATCTCAAAATCTACTATTGTCATAGGGGGAGTCCGGGAGAGTTGGACCCCTTTCAACTCCAACATGCATAAAACTGTAATTCTTCATTGAAACTTGGTCGCTCAAAGACATGTGCGTCAGATTGCCTAATAGCTATTACTGTGTGATATAGAAATCGCTATTAATCTAGTGGTTTAGCTGTAACTATTGATTTTCGAAAAATTGATATATGGGTCAAGTCTCCCCAACCCCTGGGTGAGATGACCCGATCATAAGGGAGACTTGACCACATCTTTATATATATACAGAGAAATAAAGACAAACTGTTTTCAACTCTCAAATAGTTTATTTAGAATATCAGCATTAACTACAAACGAAACTTCTACATTCATTGCTGGGTTGGAATAATCCAAGACAAAACTAACAAAAAGTTGAATTTTCTCTAGAACCTAAGGTGTCATCAACACATAAAACACAAATATTAATAATTTCAGTCGCACTCATGGCATATGAAGTTTTCATTGTCTTTATTCGTCAGTCCAACACATATTTCATGTGCATACCTTTTACAGGAAATGCAAAGGCGCATATCCAAAACCTCTTCGTTTTGGCAAACAAAACAATACCAAGGGTCACTTGGATCTTGAGCCTCGTCACCACTCGAGCTATCAGCATATTGGATAACGCACTCGTCCTCTGATTCTGTTTCACTGGATTTAACGCGTTTTTTCAACTTGGTCTTTCTTCTTGTGCTTCCATTTCCAGTCGAACTCCTGAAATTTCTCTTTCTGGATTTATGCTCGACTATGGTTGAACTATCTTCCCGTTGCGTTTCTGTTTCATCATCTTGAAAGATGTTCTTTTTAATTCCTCCTACCCTCGAGTTTTTCGCAGCCATCGTTCGGTTCTCCTCAATGTTCCTTTCGGTGAGTATCCCAACAGTTGCCGGATCAACTACAGGATTATCTTCTTTTTCAGGAGTTTCGGTTAAGATTTTTGTTTTTCCTGGCTGACGACCATGCCGTGTTTTCTTCCTGGGCGAAGCTTTTGGGTAAGGCCTTATTGCTGCCGGAGCTACAAGTGGAACCTTATCTAAGTGAGCACCATTTTGATCACAACGCATAGAGGGATTGTCAAAGGAAGATGACGGGTTTTCTATACTATTAGAAAAAGTCAGTCGAGCCGAATGGTCTTGAAGAGTCGAATGAGCAGAAAGCATATCGTCATCGCCCAAGAAACTTCTGTCAGTGACTGCAGAGCACATGAATTCTTCCTCAGTGAAAATATCAGGATTAAAAGGATGAATGCCGCTCTTTCTAAACCCACTAAGGATGTTCGCCTGACTAAAGGCGTCTGACATCAATGTCTTTATAAGCTCCGGTATATTATATATCGTCACCGTTTTCCCTGGATTTGATAGCATCCAGTTATTCAAAACTCTGTTATAACGTGACTTAAATGAAGAATAAACAGCAACATCTAACGGTTGCAGCTTACCGCTGCAATGCGGAGGGATCGTTACTATTGTTATACCATTCTCTTTGGCAAAGTTGACTACATCTATGCTTATATGGCTTTCATGATTGTCGAATATAAGTAAAACAGGATTTTCTTTGGATGCTCGGGAATACTTTTTGAAATGTTCCATGAACTTCAAAAAGCTCTTTTTGGTCATCCAACCACTGGAGTATGCGTCGCCATCCGATCCCTCTGGTCCATTAGATACAAAATCTTCCCGATATTTGACACGAGGAAATACAAAGAATGGTGGTATGACATTCCCAATTGCATTAGCTGCACAGTAAATTGTTACAAGAGTTCCTCTGTCAGCAGAAGTTGCTTGTCCCACTTGCCTTGATTGTTTGCTTGCTAACACTTTTGGACAGTCCTGAACAGTAGTACATCCTGTCTCATCACAATTAAAAATATTTTGTGGTTCAAACTTATATTTCTCCCGAACACGCCTCAGATTATCAAAAAAGTCACCAACATTCTTCTTATTGAAACTAGTCGCCCTTGATAAACTAGTTGCTTCAGGCGTTCGCAGACTTATTTCTTTATTTCTATGAAGAAACCCACGGAACCAGTCTTTTCCAGCTGAACAGTTTCTTGACCAACTGTCTGGAACTTTTTTGGAATTTGATGAAGCATATTCATAAGCTAATTTCATCGCTTCTATACGAGTAAGACCATAATTCATTTTACTGCAGTTTATTAAATATCCAACCAGCAGTCTCTCTTCTGGAATTGTGAAAATCTGAGAAGCCTTATGCGAACTATCCTTTTCATCAAAAACTCTCAGTTTTTCTTCATTTTTTGTGTACCGACGTAAAGTCGTCCTGTTTATCCCATACTTGATAGCTGTTTTCCTCAGAGATGCACCAGATTTCACATCTGCAATAGCATTTTGCAGCTCCTGTTTTATAAGTTTTTTACGAGATGAACTGCATTTGCTCTTGTATTGAAACGGCATATCTGAAAAAAAGAGTTGAAACGATTCTCTTTTTGTCGGACACAACAAAGGGACATTTGAACCACTGAGCAAATCTCCCTAGGCATGATGGGTCAAGTCTCCCTAACCCGACCTAGCTTACTCGATTTAAAAATTACGGAAATTAGTTTAAGCTGAGGAATAAAACACAATTGGTTCTCAAAACTAGAATGATTTAGTAATCTAACTAATATTAAGGTCATTTCATACCTGATTATTTAAAGACGTGGCGTCAAAACTCAAAATATTCTAATTTCTAACTTCTTAGCACCAAACACGTGCTTCCTTCGCTAACTGTAGAACCGTTTTGCTAGAAGCCAATATGGCGCCGTGCGTGTGACAAGCATCGAGTAGGCATGCAGCGGCCTGTCAGTGATCTAAATCGCGCGAAATTCAAAATGATTTATGCGGTGTGGAGCATATCTCCCACCTGGTCAAATCTCCCGGACTCCCCCTACTATTACGGTATTGCTCCCATAGTATGATCTGTAGTCAAACCATTCCTGTAAATGAAAAGCAAATGTTTATCAACTGTAAACTAAACGGTACAGTAACAAGAAAAAATCGAAGACACACCTACGTTATTATTAATATTATGGCAACCATCGAAAAAAGTATGCATCAATTTACATTATACTTATTTTGATTATGAAACAAGTACAGTTACATTGTAACGGTTTGTATCAAGAGGGATAGGTATGTATTTACCTATTAATAAGCCCTGGTGAATGTAGGTGGTATTATGTTTTTGTACGGGGGGACGTAATAAGTTTATTTCCATGCTAATCTTATGATTAATTTTATTTATTTCAAAACAGGCAATATTTGTAATTTGACAAACAAGAAGCAAATAAGAGCAATCCAATAAAACATTGATTATAAATTTGTTTACTCTCATTATACAAGGTGTCCCAGAATAATAGCATCTGGTAAGCACATAGAACACAAAAATATTGTTCCGATAAATGCCCTATGAGGCTCTCCTATGGAGATAAATAAATTTTGAATGTCACTGTACGGTTCAACGTGTCCGTTGAGAACAATTAACTCATTTATATCGCCAGGGATGGGCTAGGAGTAATACAAAATTGCTAATTTCTTATCCTGTTTGATAATGGCTCAAAATAATATATTGAGAACAACAAAAAAAATTATATCCTGCCGGAAAATCAATAGAGACCAGAGTGTTATTTCAAGAGCGCCCCATTTTATGCATAATAATAAGCCCAAAGATCAGGCTTTCAAAAAATGTCAGCGTTGATCTAGTCATAGGCAGTGTAAAAAGCTATCAATTGGACCAGACCGTAGTGATCTAAACAAGCAAATTTTTTCCATGGATATTGTCACGTGACGCTGTTAAAATCACTTGAACATACTATGTCATTCAATACTTATTTGAGACTAACCATTCGAAGTAGAGTCCTTGAAAGGCACTTTTTATAAGAACTAGTGAGCTAGTGTGTAAATATGTAATATCTTACTTCTCATGCCTATTCGCGAAAAAATTCGTAAATGTGTTATTGTTTGTAAAATAAATATCACCCAAACTTTGTTTTTTGGCTTTTCAGATGCACCTGATCATTTTCGAACATTTGCTAGTGATAAATAAGGTCTATGACTTGATCTGCTTAATTCCTCTATTACACATGTCGTTAATTAACTTTTCTCTCACTCATTCATCATTTATTGGTCTCTACGCTTCTCTCGCACAGTCAACCAGCTCAACTTGAACTGCCCTGGGCAGTCTGGCTTGAAGGCATAGACACTGATTTTCCTTATTCGACGAAATGCACCACTACTTGTTTCCGAGGGTGGGATTCGAACCCGCGATCGGTCTAGCCGATGCATCAGTAGCTCGACATTCTGACATACCGGGCCATCCAGGTCCCGCAACTTTTCTCCCAGTCCAACTATGGACAGCTGTTTCGTGTTTTTTTGGCAACTCATAATCTAGGCTTGATCTCTGGGACACCGAACGAAAATATAGCAACTATCCTCTATCCACGACATAAGGTAAAAAGCGCTGTCTTATTTTGATAGGGCCTAACTGGTGCTGAACATAATCCTTTATGAACTAACCAGAATAGTATGGCTGACGTTACCATATGCTCGATAGTTTCAGCTAGGGCGGGAAAGAAGTTTCTAGATCGCACCGATATAGACTAATTGTATGTCTGTTTGGCGCACTCGATCCGTTTAATTCTCTTTCATGTCTTACATATTCGTAGTTAACTTTCTTTATAATAACAATCCTTTATGACAGTGTTGCCTTGGAAATGCAAAGTCACCCTGCTTGACGCGTTTTCTTGATGTACTGATTGCATCCGATAGATTGGTATCATATTCTGTGACACCCTCTATATGTGCACTCGCTACAAAGAGCATTTTCGTTTGTTCCTTACATTTCTTTGTTTCTTTAGAAAACACAAACTATCCCCCGTATTATAATATATCGGATAAGTATCTTTGCAAGAACAGACGTAACAGAGTGTAAGACCATTTGGCGGCCATGAACTATTAGTTATATAATAGCCAGTAACTCGTTACGACACTGGTTTATGCATTGTGTCTGCTTATTACTTAATCTCGACCAAGGAGATCGGCGTATTTAGGTTGTTGCCTCGTATTTTGCTTGTCGAAAAAATCATGCAAGTTGTGTGGCACTAAAGGGCTTCAATTTCGGAGCCGTTTTTCTTTTCACTTCCCAAAATTAGGTCACTCATATCAGTTGGCCTGTCTGTGTATTTGTTTGTCCGCTAATCCTTGGCCCCTCCAGAGCTCGAAAAATGCCGCTCGGATTTTAGCGAGACTTTACCACATACTAACTGATATGCCAACGACGAAAAACCTTTGTGGGCTTTTAAAATTGATTCAGTGGTGGCGTAACTATGGGCAGAAAGATAAAAATCACTTAAACTTCATTTTTTGACGTCTCTGAACCTCATGCTTGCTTTTGCATTTTTTTAATGGGTAAACATTTTTTTGAAGTTAGTAGATTAGTTCCTGTGGTTCTACGCATATTTTAGACGTATTTTGCATACATTTCTCTGTACATTTGCCCCTGAGGCTGAGCAGGATAAATGCTAACTAGTGCCGAACATAATCTTTTATGCACTCTTGTCTTCTTTGCGTGCGAAGAGCAAAATCAACCTACTTGATGCCATTTTTCTCGTATTGGAGGAGCGATAGAATAATGGAAAAAATCCGATGTCAGTGGTCAACGGTGCATAGGTCACTTATTGAGCCCTTTTCCGCTTGTATTCGCGATAGTTTGCGATACCGGTCTCTTCGCAAAGGCCAAGATAGTTTTCCCCATCCTATAAATCTTACGCTTCCAGCACATATATGCCTATGATGACCTAAGACCAAAGATGTGGAGGAAGGACCCCTCCTCATCGCCATATCAACCGCTGTAGCAGCCGGACCCCCAGGTTACAGGAGCCGCGACTTATGAAAGAAAATATCAATTTCACGCACCTTTTTGGGCCGTACGATAATCTATGAAATCTTAAGCGCTCAATCCTTGGATCGCATGGCTAGTTTATAATAGCATGCTTGCGTTTTTATCCTATGGATTACAACTGCAGCAACTGGAAAAGGCTTGTCGAAATTAACAATGATTAAATCGATTTAGGTCTTCTAAGAGACTACTATGACTACCAGACTTTGTATTGGACTCGAGACACTAGACTTGTTTTTACCTGTAGATTGTTTGATAAAAAAGTAAAAAAATAGTTTCAAAAAACTGATTTTCTATACATTCAGAAATGGCTATTTTCAAATTTTTCATACGTGCACATCGAAAATCCTTGACACATAAATGCTGCTTGAGTATTATTATTCTGACAGAAAAATAAACCTTGTTTAAAAAACGATTTGTGTTCCATAAGTATTGGAGTCTTGTATAAAGCATACAAAAACAAATTTTGGCGACAATCCGCATGGCTATTACGAGCCCCTTCAAACTTCAGTTGGCCCAACTATTGAAATCTTAGTTTTTTTCTTATCAAACACAAATAATAAAAATGTAGCAGGGTGTTATAGGTTTAAAATATTAACAATGAATATTTTGATAATATATAGTAGAAAATACCAACTTTATCAATCCCTAATCAAATTTGCAGCATAAAAATAACACATGTTGCAATTACAGCATATCAACCTATTTTCATTTCAATGCAAAATAAGTCTATAACGCATAGGTGGCTGTGAAAAATAAAAGCCATGACAATTGTTTTTACTAATCACAGCTGTCAGAATACGTTTAAAATAGTTTTGGGTAGTTAAGGTTTTCAAAATGGGTAGAGGAAAGGTTATTAGTGAGAAAATTCGGTTACTGATAATTAAATTTTTTAATTCTGGGAAATCAAAATCAGAAATGGCAACTTTGTTAGACTCATCGCGGTACAGTGTGAGAAATATTGTTAGAAGATATAACGTAACTGGTTCAGTTAATATTAAGCCACGATATTTGAAAAAAAGTAATATCACACATGCCGACCGAAGAGCATTACTCGTGAAAAACAGGCGTGCCAATTATTTACAATTAAGTGCTCTGCGGAGTGACGCTGTTGGAAGGAGAATTTCGAGGTCCACAACTCATAGAGAGGCCCACAAACTGGGATTTAGCACTTGCAAGGTAAGTTTTCTTATAAAAAAAGTGAAGTAAAAACCCTAAAGTTCCACAACTTGTTTATACACCAAAGAAAAGCCACCATTAACTCCACTGCAAAAGACAAATCGGCTTAGATGGGCTAAAGAACATAGACAATGGACACCTCAACAATGGTGTGCAATACAATGGAGTGATGAGGCCCGATTCGAAGTTTGTGTTGGTGAGAGTCGCAGTAGAGTTATTCGCAGAAAAATGAAGCATTCCATGTTGACTGTCTAAAGAGAAAAGTGAAATTTCAAGCATTCATTATGGTCTGGGCAGTATGTCATCAAAAGGAGTAGGAAAACATCATTTTATTGATGGAAATGTGGATACAAACAAATATTTGGCAATTTTAGAAGAATCTCTTTAACCTGTGATGGAAGAATGTTTGACATCCGGCCAAGATTTTGTGTTTCATCAGGATGGTGCAGCGTGCCATACCTCAAAAAAGGCTATAGACTGGATGGAAGAAAATAATGTACCACTTTTTAAATGGGTTTCTAGCAGTCCAGATCTGTCACCTATTGAAACTTTGTGGCACGAGATGAAAAAGGTTCTACGACAACATCCTGCTAGTGCAATCACCGAACCGAGACAAAAGCTTCAAGAAATATGGGATTGTTTTACACCAAATTTTTGCCAAAACTTGGTTAATACTATGCCCCAAAGAATTTCAGCCGTAATAAAAAATAAAGGTGATGTTACCCAATGGTAATCATTCAATTGTTGCTTTGTTAACTTCGCGCATTTGTTCGCACATTGTTTATTTGTTCAGATGTTCTATTAGTTATAGGTCTGAGTGATTACAAATATGTATTTTTTATGACTAGAGTGTAAATAAAATGTTTTTGAGAAAATAAATTGTTTTAGAAGTAAATAGTTTCGTCATGTTTAGTTTATAAAGGCATATTTTGTTACAAATCTTGAAGTGGGCCAACTGAAGTGGGAAGGGGCTCGTATGTAAAAAACCTAAAAAAAAAAACGTCAAACGAAATGCCATTTTGCAGGCTAGTAGTTTTTAGTGTAGTTTTTGCTCGCTATAATCGCTCTTCCCTGAAGTTTGAACAACACGTACATCTACAAAACCAGTGCACAAGTGTACAATAGCTTGCGTTTAGTTGACATCTTGTAGAAAAATCTACGAAATGCCACAAAAAACCTACGAAATGTCACTTTTCAAGATACGTAATACCCGAGCCGCAGGGCTTTTATGTAAACAACCTAAAAACGTAAAAAAACCGACGAAATGTCATCTTGCAGACTAGGTAATTTTTAGTGTGTATTTAAGTTCATTTCACGTTTACTCGCGATGATCGCTGCTCGCTGACGTTTAAACAACACGTACAGCTACAAAACGAGTTCACAATGTGTACAACAGCTTGTGCTAAGTTAATATCTTGTAGAAAAACCTACAAAATGTCAAAAAACGGACAAAATGTCACTTTGTTTTGTTGTTTGCTCATAAAACCGTTATCATTTAAACGATTTTCAAACATGTATGCATTACCTACTAGTTTAAACAGCATGCTTCTCCCCAAAACTCATCCAAGCGAACCGGCATGCAGACCGTCGGAGATAAGAAACCTTGTTATTTAAAATTCTAAAATCTTCGCGGTCTAGTACATCCCTCTCTTATGCCGGGGAAAGTAAAGCTCAAGCATAGCGTATATTTGCCCATCCTAGACTGTTAGTTGCAAAAATCAATACTTTACATTGATTAACATACTCTACCTGTACTTACTTTATTTCGGAGTCCAAAAAATATCCGAGGTGAAATGAGATATGCAGTTGTCATCTAAGAGAATTTGTCACAACCATGTTTCTTCTCTCTACAATAATGAAAAATCAATTTTGTATTAGTTAGTGTCTCATAGATGGCGTTGTAGTCAACTATATGCTCATCTGTGCTCATATAGACACTAAGATTTTCCATGAGTCTAGTACATGGTTTACTATGTTAAGGTAGTAAATAGACGTTTATCAATATACTCAGTCAAGGGATTTTGCTTATTTTGTGAAATATCTCAAATTTATATCCTTTATTAGGATTCGCCACAATTGAGTGGGGCCCCTCAAAGGCAAGTTACGCCACTGGTGACTTGGCGTATTGTGACCAATTAAGGGTTCAACTAACAGTCACAAACCATTCCTATTTAAAGACAAATAGAAACCTTGACGATTAGTTACATTGTCTGCAGGAGCTATCCGGAGATACTCCTCCACCTCAAAAAATGTGGATTTTGAATAAACAGTTCCGTAATAACCATATAGTTGCACGCCCATTGAGACGAAGCGACGTGAAGAGAAAGAGGTATGACTCAATGATATTGAATATGACTATATTTCGCTCGTCTTAATTTCTTCCAATCAACTTGACAGCTGTTGTCCTTAAAAATTACAAAACCTTTGATAACAAGTAATTATGGTCTCCTAGGACCCCAGTAAATAATCTGTAATGCTTACTATATGCGCAAGCTTCACCACAGTTTTACCCACTGTGGTGAAGCTGGAACACGAACGTGGCTTCCACACGGCACAGTTAAGAGCGCGCAAGCCACATTCTTATCAAAATCGTCGTCGTGGAAACAATGTTTCCTAACGAAGAACTATTTCTTCTGTTGTTATATTTTAGGGTTTTGTTAATGAAGAAAAAGACACCGCTAAAGTTAAACGTAAACGATCGAAGTGGATGAAGAAATGGCTGTTGAATAGAAAAATTCATTCACATGTAAATCTACTGAGTCAAACGACTGGCGAAATTTTTTACGGATGGAAGAAAATGCCTATAGTGAATTATTACGCCTGGTTACGCCTGTCATTGAACGTCAAAATACGGTTATGAGTAAAAGTATATCACCTCACGAAAGGCTGACCGCTACTTTAAGGTTCCTGGAGGATCATACCAAGATTTGAGATTTTCTACAGCAATTTCTGAACAAACTTTATCTAAAATTATTCCTAATACATGCCGAGCCATTTATAAGGTTTCTAGCCTCAACTGTGGCTTGAAGACTGAACAACCAACCACACGCACAGCAAGTACGCGCAGGCCAGGCTTGCGCAGGCAAAATTTCAAAGAAATCAAAAGTCGCGCAACCCAACGGAACGCCAACCTCACGCACAGTGTTCCATGTACAAACCGGTCTGCGCAGGTAAAACTGTAGTGAAGCTTGCACGTGTGGTAGGCCCATTACTCATGAAATATACTAAGTGACATATAAATCCGAACACCCAGTTTAAATGGTTTTATTTTAATAAAATTTTGTATAAGTACTTAATGAAGCATAATAAGTAAATGATAAAAATTTCAAAATGATTGCACTGCTTTAAAGCCCATTGACCTTTAATAATGTGTGGATGCACCCTGATGTGCTACGCATTCTCCAACGCGCCTAGGCATGCTTCTGATCAGGTGGTCAATGTCCTCCTGTGGCAACCACCAACTCCTCTCGAAGTGCTTCTAGAGTCTGAGGAGGACGTTGCAAATTGAGCAATCTCCTACCCATCATATCCCACACGTGCTCAATTGGGGATAAGTCGGGAGATCTTGGTGGCCATGGTAACAATGTGACATCATTTTGTTGAAAGAAGTCTATTGTGACTCTTGCAACATGTGGTCGGGCATTATCTTGTTGGAAAGTTGGATCTGCCAGGGTGTCAAAATAGGGTAAAAGATGGGGTTCTAGAACTTCGTGGATATAACGCTGCGCGTTCATGTTACCTCTGATGAAGATTAAAGGTGACCTGGAACCATAAGCTATAGCACCCCAAACCACAACTTCAACAGTGTGATGAACATGTCTTTCAACAAAAAACTGTGGATTCCTCCTTTCACCACGTCGCCTTCTAACCCTGGCACGACCATCGTGCATGCCTAAACAAAATCGAGACTCGTCACTAAAGACAGTACTGTTCCATTCCTGATCCCAGAGTGACCGTTGTCTGCACCACTCAAGGCGATTACGTCGGTGTTCTCGAGTTAAAGGGAGGACCCAGTGTGGCCGGTATGAAAACAAGCCAAAACTTCTTATTCGTCGGTAAACACTTCGCATGCCAATAGGTCTTCCGTGTTCTGCAAACCATTCATTTGCAATGGACCTGGTAGTGGAGAAACGGTCCCTTAAGGCCAATAATCTTAGGCGGCGATCTTCACGGTCTGTTGTTCTACGGCGGCGTCCAGTGTCCCTTGCTCTTTGCGTACGGCCTTCTCGAAGCCATGCCTGACAACACCTAACCACAGTGTCTACACTTCTTTGCACTCTAACTGCAGTTGCCCGAAAAGAAAGTCCAGCTTCCCGAAGTCCCACTATACGGCCCCTATCAAACTCACTAAGTTGACGAAGTCGTACAGGTCTCTGTACTCTAGGCATCGTAACCGATCGTAAAGGATGTCAAGACCCAAAATCCGCCAACGTTGATTCTTTACTGTGGCTGAAATATTCATTTTTAGAGCGTTAGTGAATTAAAAAAAAAGCAGTATAAAAACCGGAATGTCCAACTGATAAGGCTGAACATTTTTTCACTTGTTATTTACAGTAAGATAAATACATTTACCAACTTTTATTAAAATAAAACCATTTAAACTGGGTGTTCGGATTTATATGTCACTTAGTATAGTCTTGTCAAATACCATTCGGGCATTTAATTATTTCCTGTAAAAGAAATCGAAAAAACACAATGCAAAGTAATATCCTTTTTTAACAAAAAACATTCATGCAGTTGTTCGTCTTCGACTCGGTTTTTCGTTGTCACCAGCACTCATGCTTCTTCTTAAAATATTACTTAGCAACGTGTTTTTTCGATTTTTTTGGAAAAATTAGATGCCCTTATGATGTTACTTATGAATATTTCTTCCTTGCACTAAAGCGGTTTCCGCTCTCAGGAATTGTTATTGAAATGCTCCCACTTTCATCCTGCATTTTCAGCAGCTTGTTAATTGACTTCTACAGTATATTCAGATAAGAGATAGACCGGATGTAAACAAAAGGTTCGGGTGATTTTCACGCTAACGCCGCCGTCTCGACGTAAAACAGGAGCCATCATTGGTCAATTCGCAATTAAATGCCTATGCCGGGCGGCAGAGCAGTCGTATCAAGGCAGAGTCACATTCAGGTTCAGACGTGTTACGTATGTCGTGTGCATCATTGCAATTTGATATTTCTTTGGACGTTTTCGTTTGTTATCTTATTAAGTTGTTGAGTTTGTCGTTGTTATTGTTATACCTTGTTATTGATTGTTATTGTTATCAACTGCTTGCGCAAAATGCCCAGTAGTACAGATACTGCCGATGAAGTTGTAAACTCCTGTAGTCCACCTAGGAAACGCTCTAAAAAAGACACCTGAGTGCAGAAATGAAAGAGGTCATTTTGAATATATATAAGATCGAGCGCGAGGGAACGAGGCATCAACCATCAAAGAAATTGTTGTGAAGGTTTCTCACAAAGTTGGTGTGTGTCGCGCATCAGTGTTTAATGTGTTAAGACAATACAAAAAAAGCACAGCTTTTCTGAGCCAATGACCAGTAAACATCGCAAAAGTATTGTTAAATCATTGGATGAAGCTGATAAGCATGCGATTAGGAGGAAAGTGCATGAATTCTTCTTTAGGAATGAAATACCTACTATAGATAAAGTACTGCAGGAGGTAAATGGAGATACAACGTTGCCAAATTTCAAACGATCAACTTTCCATGAGTTACTGAAGCATTTAAATTTCAAATGGAAAAAACGGGGTCGTAATAGTTTACTACTGGATAGAGAAGAAATTGTGCTATGGAGGAGGGATTATTTAACAAAAATTGGGAAATATAGAAATCAAAACAGGAAGATTTATTACCTTGATGAAACGTGGGTAAACGCAGGACACACTACAAGTAAAGTATGGATTGATGATTCTGTAACTTCATCCAGGAGGGCCTTTCTAGATGGACTGTCCACCGGATTAAAAAATCCAGCAGGTAAATACGAGTAATAGGCAACAATCGGATGTTTTTCAAACCTTGGGAACAAGGTTCTAAACATTAATTCCAGGGGGCAGATAAAACATATTACAAGTAACAAAACTTTTATAACTTTCGATAAAATGCGTGGATGTTTTATTGTCATTTTCATTTGTTAGAACTTTTTTAAGCCATGTTTTTATGTGTTTTCGATATTTCAATAATTTTTTAATATAATCTTAAAATATGTCGAATATTATAAACTTAAAAAAAGTTATTAAGTTTTATATTGTGTACCGTTCCTAATATTTCTAATCATTTTAATTCATACGTTAAGCTTTATAAAGTTATAATTTGTTAATATTAATATTTGCGCGTATTTCAGGTTCCTGATCATTCATTTTTTAAAGGTTTATAACTTTAAATTAAATTGTGAAGCGCTGAGTAATCATACGACGTTAAATATTCTTTCTTTCAATATGACTAAATAATCCCAATTATATCAATCTGATACTCATGTCTCAATGTTTTTTCGCTGAATGTGATGAAAACATTTGAAAAAGGTTCGCTTATTGAAATAAATCTACACCAGTTAGTACTTCGATTTCCAGGTAAAGGGAAAAGGCTCATTATCTGCCATATTGGCAGTGAGGATAGATTTGTTGTTGACGGTCTGTGGTGCTTTGAGTCTAAGAAAACTGAAGATTACCACGAGGAAATGAATGGCGAATCGTTTGAACAGTGGTTTTCAAAAATTTTACCGAACTTAGAGGAAAACGCAGTAATTGTGTTGGATAATGCGCCTTATCATTCTCGAAGAATGGAGAAGGTCCCAACAACGGCTTCAAGGAAAGTTGATGTTCAAAATTGGCTCCGCTCGAAAAATATCAACTTTGAAGAAGCAATGCTGAAAGTACAATTATTAAGAATTGTCAAGGATCACAAGGCGGAATATCAAAAATACGCCATTGACGAAATGGCAGCAAGTCAAAATAAAACTGTGCTCCGTTTACCTCCATACCATTGCGAGCTCATATGGGCAGAGGTTAAAAATTATATAGCTAAGCACAATACAACTTTTAAATTTTGTGACCTCAAAGGACTTTTCAAAGAAGCACTAGAATTAATAACAGCGCAAAAATGGGAAAACTGTATTAAGCACGTGAAAGACAAAGTTGAAAAGAGAATGTGGGAACTGGACAATATTTTAGAGGAACAAGTCGAGCCATTCATTATTGACGTTGGTGCTTCAGGCAGTAGCGATGATGAAAGCTCATCAAGCTCATCTTTCCAATAAAAGATGTCGTTCATCAAATTCGGTAAGTTATAAGTAATTATAAAGCTACTGTATTTTTTAATTAATTATTGACATT